TTTAATCAAGCTATTATTAATAGATGCAATACCGTATCGATATAGACTCATTACCCGAAATAATTCTCACAATGGGAGATTTACTAAGAACTCCTAAATTCTAATTAGAAACATTTCCCATGTGAAGCCAAAATATCACCATAGTGATCCTTATGCCATTCCAAGCAAAAACTTCACATGAAACTTGAACACCACATGCATAATTGACATTTAAACAAGCTTTTCTCAAGTCAATACCACTACCATATCTGTCCCTGAACTGAAACATTGATTTACTGTAAAAACAAGAGAAACATAAGAGTAACAGCTAATGTTATGGCTACCATTATGCAAATACCAGTTAGCTAGCTTCCTGTCTTGGTCTTCTTTGTTCAGAAGGAGCACCATCTCTTCGTCTCTCGTATCTTCTGCTCACATACTTGGATTCCCTTCGCTGCTTGGGTTGATATGTAGGATATGTGCAAGGGATTATCTCTCCATTTATATATTTATCACCTGTAAAATTAACCCAAGATACATCACCATAAAACAAGAGCAATTTTGCAACAAAATGGTGATCTCTTCTCATTAACTAAAAAGTGTTCAGAAAATGAGTGATTATTAGGTGTTATGGTGCATAAATGAGTTGTTTGATTCATTTCAAATCTTTGTTAAAAATTTTAGAATTAAAATTTACATTAAGCAAATCAAATTTGTTCATCTTGTAAACTCTTGTGTCCTTAAGAACCTAATAATTTTCCAAGAATACAAACCTCCATAATCCTTGTTTTTGACATCTATGTATGAATCAGGCAACACCCATAGAACTCCAGGCAATCCTGTACCGCAAGGAAAACAACATTAGTCAATTAACTTCTCTGAATCCCACGTAGAAGAATCCAAGTAATCAAACACAAACCCTAACAGATCCACATACCCTTGAATTTCTCAGAGGTTTCCTCAGATACTGTGCATTGAAATCCGGTGTAGGTAGTGGTACTAAAGGCGTACATGTTCTTCTTTGCTTCTTCCATGCTAAAATAATCATTAAAAAGGGACCAGAAGGCATGAAATGAGCTTGAATTATTCTGACAAATTGGGGTTCCTAAATTTCTGAGGTAAAACTATGTATGTTCTATTTTCCCAAGATTCGAATACCTAGAAATCTAGTTTCCATCAAACCAAACAAAACCCACAAATCACAAGATAAAAGATAAAAGATTAAACCAAACTAAATCACAAGATACAAGATTTTCCCTCCTAAAACAAACAGAACCCACAAAAAATTTAAACGAGTACCTGCCAAGAACTGTGGCGAGTGTATTGAGATAAGTCTCGATCATTTGCTCTCTAGTTGGTGCAGGGTCCTTAGGGAACTCCATAACAATGAGCCAGTGGTTATAGTCGCAGCCGGGTAACATAATCGTTTCTCTGGGTTCATTGCTGCTACTACGTCTGGAAGAATAGTCGCTGTCTGTCGCGGCGGCTCTAACTTTAATGGAGGGAACTGCCCGGGAGCGGGTTGAAAGGGGGTTCAGTGAGTTGACTCGGAAGGAAGGAAAAAGTTTGGGAGCAGTAGAGAGGAAGGGTTTAGAGGAAGGGATTAAGATTTCTAGGCTGTAGAGCGTTGCCATTGCAAGCCAGATAGATAATGATGGACAGAGAGGAGAGGAATGATAAAATGGCTGCAAACTTGCAGAGAAGAAAAAGATAATGGTGGGTGATGATATTTTTTCGGTCGCCATAATGATTGATTGGGCTGATGGGTTTGGGCTTTAAAATTGTCATACCATTACTGTGTTTCTGCTCGACTGATGGGCTGCCGGAGAATATCTAGCATTGTGTTATGGGCCTCAGTGCAAAGATTATAATCTTAGGAGTTGTATTATCTTATCCTTCTACTTCATCTTCTCTACTCTTTAACCCAGCTCCGATTCTCTCCAAGGCCCAGACTCAGCAGCTCCTCCTACCCCACTCGGCGTTGCAATCGGATTCCTTCGCTGTTCTCTCAAGTAATCTTCACATATCACTTTCTTCCGATTCCGAAATGTTGGTTTATATTTGAAAATTTGACTTTGAGAGACTCGAACTGAACTTTGATTGCAACGATTGTTTTGTTGATATTGCTAGTGTGATCTGCGTATAAGAGATGATTTTTTCGTATAATGTATGGCTGTTATCGAAATTGAACTCTAAATCCAGAATAATGTGAATTTTATCTGTTATTGGACTGGAATTTGACAGAACACTGTTCGTACTTTGCAATGACGCTGTTGATGATAAGACGCCGTGTGTCTTTTTAAACAGGTTGGGGAATTTCGATTTATTTCCCTAATTATGAATTATAAAGCTCGGTAAACTATCAACTTACAGTGCTTGCGGAAACCGTCTAATTATCGTCAAAATTTTACTGGTGCTTCAGACATGGATCTTCTCTGTAGTGCATACTCCGGGGACTCAGACGATGAACCTGAAACGAAGCCTGAACCAACACCCGAACATGAAATCAGTATGCTCCCTCTTCCAAAGAGGCAGAAACTTGGATACTCAAATCACCCAGTGCTTCCCCCGACCTACCAGTGTTCGCATCTTTTAACTGAATCTCCGGTTCCTGGGAGATACATATCCAAAAGAGAGAGAGCATTATTAGATTCCTTACCAGCAGCTCCAGGACAGGACCCGAATCCTTCGGTCGTCATTCCTCCAGGTATTTAATCTTCGCAGAGTTTTAGTTATTACTTTTAGTGATGTGTGTTTCGTTTAAGTTTTATTATTTTATTATTTTATTTTCTAATCTGATTTTTTTGCTGTTTGGAGTTATGATGCTAAATGTGGGTTATTTATGACGAGGAGTGTAAATAAAATACGATTCAATGATAAAAGTTGTCAGGTAGAAATCTTCAAGAAGTAATTTGCAGGATTATTAGCGATAAGTGTAATTTTGAAGAGTTTCATTGTTGTGTAGAAGTTAATTAGTCTTCGTGTTGATGGATAATGCAGACGATAAAAATGCATCAAAGGGAAGGAAATGTTTATTGTTTGTTGATGATTTATATTGGAAAGGTTTGCATGCCTCATGTGATGAGGATTGTTCTGAAATCAATGAGAAATTGGTGCTATTATTGAGAAAAAGAATGGAACTGGAAAAAGGTTTTCTATCAGTTCCCTCCCAAAATTTCTGTTACCCAAGCATTTGCTCTGTATGATAGACTGCTTCTATGATAATTGATACATAATGCGAAAGTCACACTTGATGTGCCATAGAACTTTTCATGGTTCGAATGATTCTTTCCGTGGTCTGGAGTTTCCTTCTCATAGCCACTATCATCTGTTTGTGCTGATGAGAGGAATAGGCTGCAAGGTACCACTTTGTGGGTTTCAGTCAAGACAAAATCTCAATTACTCTCCTTTGCTGATACACCTCATAGGCTGCTTCATTTGTTGTAGCAGGCACTAGATATGTTCATATTTAAACTTGATAGTTGAAACTGATAGTTGTTCACTTGGCAATGATCAGTTTTCGTCTTTGTGCATCTTTGAACAAAAAAAAGGACAACTTTCAACAAAAGGAACGTGCTTATCCTTTGCTGATAAATCTTCTGCC